TGTGTCATTTGCTAAAACTTTTCCCAATTGTCGGTGTCATGTGATCTTTTCCCCAGCTGTCTGTGTCAATCCCGATTTTCTTCCGCTGTCTGTGCCCAAATTCGGATCTTTTCCACGGTCTGTGTCAATGCGGATCTCTTCCAGCGGTCTGTGTCAATGCTGATCTCTTCCAGCTGTCGTGTCAGTGCTGATCTCTTCCAGCTGTCTGTGCAGTGCTGATCTCTGCCAGCTGTCTGTGTGAGTGCTGATCTTCTTCCAGCTGTCTGTGTACAATTTTTTGATCTCTTCCAGCCCGTCTGTGTCCAGTGCTGATCTCTTCCAGCTGTCTGTGCAAATGTTTGATCTCTTCCAAGGGGGGGCTGTGTCCATGCTGTCTCTTTAAATGCGTCTGTGTTAATGCTGATCCTTCAAAGTTGCATATTATTATTAAATTAATTGAAGATTATAATTGATTATCCATTTATAATTAATATAAACTAATACCAATTATGTTATTTAGGGCACGAGAAACTCACCAACTTGCTGAAGCCAATCAGGAAAAGAATGTTTATAATTTTTTATTTTACCCGTCGCAAGGAGGCATTTGGTTTGACGAAAGATTTATATTGAGGGCCCCCCAGCCGCTTTTGATCCTGATAGAAAAGCCAAAGAAGAAGCAGCAAAGGCAGCAGCAGCCTTGGCCCAGAAAAAATTACACGTATGTAAAATTTGAAACTTTCTGTGACCTGGATCTGTGTGTTTGTGTGTACCAGGACGATCAGTAAGTCGTCGAACAGTTCTGGAACATAGGATTTTCGTTGTACCAGACATCAGTAAGTGTGAACAGTCTGTGACATGGATTGTGTGTTGTGCCAGACATCAGTAAGTGTGAACAGTTCTGTGACATGAATTTGTAACTGTACCAGGACATCAGTAAGTGTGAACATTTCTCGTGACATGGGATTTGTGTGTACCAGACACATCAGTTTCAGTGTGAACATTTCTGTGACATGGATTTGTGTGTACCAGACATCAGTAAGTGTGAACATTTCTGTGACATGGATTTGTGTGTGCCAGACATTAGTAAGTGTTTGAACATTTCTGTGACATGGATTTGTGTGTACCAGACATCAGTAAGTGTGAACAGTTCTGTGACATGGATCTTTGTGTGTTTGTGTGTACCATACATCAGTAAGTGTGAACAGTTCTGTGACATGGATTTGTGTGTACCAGACATCAGTAAGTGTTTGAACATTTATATGACCTGGATCTGTGTGTTTTTGTGTGTACCAGACATTATTAAGTATTTGAACATTTATGTGACATGGATTTGTGTGTGTTTGTGTGTACCAGATATCAGTAAGTGTTTGAACATTTCTGCGACACATCCTGAAGTCTGATCTGGTCATCCTGTTGAGATTGCAACAGATGTATCCGTGCAGCGGAGGAGATGATTAGAGGTGACAGGCGAGTTACGGTTGACTCTGTAGCAGCTGCAGTAGGGTGCTCACATGGTTTAGCATTCAACATAATGCATGATTGATTGAAATTTAAGAAAGTGTGCCCAAGGTAGGTACCCAGACAATTGACGGAAGAACACAAAATGAACCGATTAGGCCTGCCCTTGCAACATCTCTGTCGAAACGCAGAAGAAGGAGAAGACATGCTGAACAGGATTATTACTGTGGACTAACCATGGGTGCTTCACTACCAGCTTGAATCAAAGCGTGCTTCACTGCAGTGAAACATCCATCTTCGCCCTCTGTTAAAAATTCAAGGTTATGCCGTCAGCAGGGGGAGGTTATGCTGACAGTGTTCTGGAATTGTCGAGGAGTGCATTTAACCAATTTAAAAAAAAAACAACAAAGAGGTCACGGTGTGAATGCTGATTCATACTGTAAAGTTTTTTTTTATGCTTTATTGAAGAAAACGTTCAGGCCTGCTGACTAGAGGAGTACTGCTCGTTCGTGACAATACCAGACCACACCCGGCTCGGTTAACTCAGGAGAAAATAACCACCTAGGGTGGGAAAGTCTGAAACATCCACCAAACAGTCTTGACTTGCGCCCCTAGCGATTTCCACCTTTTTGATCAACGCAAACCCACCTTGGGGGGAGACGATTTCGTGAATGACGCAGAAGTTGAATGTGAAGGGGAAATGTGGTTTAGAGAGTAGCACACTGTTCAGCAGATTTGAGAAGACTGATAAAACAATGGGACAAGCGCATCAGTGTTGGTGCACAAACAAACGATTTTCAAGTCATTATCATCTTTAGTTTATGAGTTGTGTATCTTATATCCGAGGCATGGTATGAGTCGTGTATCATTTATCTAAGAAATGTACAAGTGATGAATCATATATCTAAGATATGTTTTGAGTGTTTGATCATATTTGTGTGTGTGTGTATCAGAGCTATGGTATGAGTTGTATATCTGAGGTATGGTATGTGGTGTATCATACATCTAATATATAGTATGAGTGGTTTCTCATATATCTAAGATATGTTTTGAGTGTTTGATCATATTTGTGTGTGTGTGTATCAGAGCTATGGTATGAGTTGTATATCTGAGGTATGGTATGTGGTGTATCATACATCTAATATATAGTATGAGTGGTTTCTCATATATCTAAGATATGTTACGGGTGGTGTAAATAACAGCTATGGTATAAGTGGTGTATTTGAGCATTGGTATCTTGTAGCATTTTGAACATACCATCATCTTGTTTTGTTATCTTGTAGCATTCTGAACATACCATCATCTTGTTTTGTTATCTTGTTGTAGCATTCTGAACATACCATCATCTTGTTTTGTTATCTTGTTGTAGCATTCTGAACATACCATCATCTTGTTTTGTTATCTTGTTGTAGCATTCTGAACATACCATTATCTTGTAGCATTTTGAACATACCATCATCTTGTTTTGTTTCCTTGTAGCATTCTGAACATACCATCATCTTGTTTTGTTATCTTGTTGTAGCATTCTGAACATACCATCATCTTGTTTTGTTATCTTGTAGCATTTTGAACATACCATCATCTTGTTTTGTTATCTTGTTGTAGCATTCTGAACATACCATCATCTTGTTTTGTTATCTTGTAGCATTTTGAACATACCATCATCTTGTTTTGTTATCTTGTTGTAGCATTCTGAACATACCATCATCTTGTTTTGTTATCTTATTGTAGCATTCTGAACATACCATCATCTTGTTTTGTTATCTTATTGTAGCATTCTGAACATACCTTTATCTTGTTTTCTCTTCAAGGGTAGTCCAAAGTTCTGATGAGGAACAAGACAAAGAAACTGCTTCCTCACCTGCCAAAAAGAAGAAGAAATCAAGGTGAGTTTTTGTAAAAGCTTTTTTTCTTTCTTTCTTTTAAATTTAAAAAAAAACAAGTATGTAGACCACACAGTTGAAGTTAGTTGCTAATCCTTTACAGGAGCAACCCCGACATATTTTGGCTGCTGTGGTTTTTTTTTTTTTTTATAGTCACATTTTATGTTCAGTAGTTTGCCATTGCTTGCATAACGGTCAGCTCTCTGCACCACTGTCGAAACCAACGCAAGATATTTTGCTGCATAATCACTCACAGCTGGTATCGAACCCATCACCCGGCATTAGGAAGCACGTTTGCAACACCTAAGCCACAGATCCTGACTACATATACACAGTACTACAAAGAATTCCTAAGAGTGGAGACACAGAATTTGATATATCCAAATTAATAGTATGACGTAAAGTTAAAATACAAAAGCATGGAAATCAAACTCATACCTTCAGATATACGTGTGAAAATACACACACCGGAGACATATCAGGGCAGATGTACAGCCACAAACGCACATTCACAAACAAAAACATACACATTCCGAGAGGCACGCACATTGACAACACACACCATCGCAGCACATACACACAGACACAACACACACCATCGCAGCACATACACACAGACACAACACACACCATCGCAGCACATACACACAGACACAACACATACATACAGCACATACACACAGACACAACACATGCACACAGGTACATGCACACAGACACAACGCATACATACAGCACATACACACAGACACAACACATGCTCACAGGTACATGCACACAGACACAACGCATACACACAGACACAACGCATACACACAGACACAACGCATACACACAGACACAACACATACACACAGACACAACACATACACACAGACACAACACATACACACAGACACAGCGAATACACACAGACACTATAACACAAAATACACAGGCATTCACAGCACTCACAGACATAGTACACAGGCATGCACAAAGACTCACAGAAGCAATACTCACACATACACAACATTGCATCCACAACACTCACACATACACAACATTCAGACACAGCATACACAGACACAGCGCTGACATACACAACACTCACACATACACAACATTCACACATACACAACACTCACACATACACAACACTCAGACACAGCATACACAGACACAGTGCTGACATACACAATACTCACACTTTGAACATGCACAGACAGAACAGTACACATATACACAAGACATACATACAAGTAATCGCACAGACACAACACACACATACAAAACAGACACATAGAACCAATAAGACTAACATATACAGACACATAGAACCAATAAGACTAACATATACAGACACATAGAACCAATAAGACTTACATTTACAGACACATAAAACCAATAAGACTAACATACACAGGCACACACAGACACAACACATGCCGATACAGCAGTCACACATATGACACACAGACAGGTCATGTTAACCAGATGTTTACCTAACACATCATCACTTGTATCATTGCAGACACGGGAGCACATCTCCAGAACGCAGCAAGGAAAAACGTAAAAAGAGCAGAAAACACAGCAAGAGAGATCGGTAGGTGGCGCTGGTTATCTTTAGTTTGCCCTTTGGTGTTTTCTATAGCTGCTTTAATTCATGAGACTGTAGGCCTCTCAGTTCTGTTAGTTGTTGTTATCCCACCGACTTTAGTGTTCATTTTATGACTATTTTTGTTAGTCGTTCACAGTCAGGTTTTTGCCTAAGAGCTGTTTTAGTGGTGCCTTGTATTTTTTGTATCTGGACAGCTGCATTTCTCTTTTATTTATGAATGTTTATAGTTTAAACGTTTAGTTTTTTCTTCGGAGTACTGTGGCTTGAATGTTTAGACTATTCTGAATAATTTGTGTACTTCATTTTGTTTTTCATATAATTTCCATTCATTTTTTAAGGCATTATCTTCGTGTGATTAATTACTGTAAATATTCATATTTTAAGACATTATCTGTATAGGAGTTAGTTACTGTAAACAATTAAATTAGCAACATTCTTTGATAGGTGATTAAATTTTAAAGTGCATGCATAATTGTTACAAATGTATTTAATACTAAAGCTTTGGCAAAATATCAATTGTTGATTATTTCAAATATGCCAAATTACACTACTTCATGCGAGCACATTTTAAACAAAATATTAATTTAATTCTTCGTGAAAGACAAATAATGATAATTAAATTATTTTTTTAAACTCAAGAATGTTAAATTTTTGTTTCAACCTTATTGTTTTTGCTTTTGCTGTTTTCCTTGTTATTATTTCCATTTTCTTAATTATGGTCTGTTGCTACTTTACCTATATTTTGCAGTGTTGTGTGTGTTGAATAAATAGTGTATATACAGTACTAGTGTAGTGATAATCTGTATACATAGGAGTGGGTAATTCGAATATAGTATATGGAATACTGTAAACATTGTTTGTGTGTACTCCATTTGTTTTAAAGATATACATGTTTGTTTTGGTATCCGAAATATCTGATTGTAGATTATAGTTCAGACTATCTGAGTGACAGTTTGTCATTGACAGTAGGTAATGTTCAGACTATCTCAGTGACAGTAGATAATGTTCAAAATGTTGCAGTTATAAATAATAAAAAGAATGTCTCAGTGGTAGTAGGTTGTGGTCAAAATATTTCAGTAACAGATTATAGTCAGAATGTCTCAGAGACAGTAGATTATGGTCAGAATGTCTAAGTGACAGTAGATTATGGTCAGAATGTCTCAGTGACAGTAGATTATGGTCAAAATATTTAAATATTAGTAGATTATGGTCAAAATGTCTCAGTGGCAATAGATATTGGTCAGGATGTCTCAGTGACAATAGATTATAGTCAAAATATTTAAATATCAGTAGATCATGGTCAAAATGTCTTAATGGTAGTAGATTATTGTCAAAATATTTAATTATCAGTAGATTATGGTCAAAATGTCTCAATGGCAATATATTATGGTCAAAATATTTCAAAATCAGTAGATAATGATCAGGATGTCTCAGTGGCAGTAGATTATGGTCAAAATGTCTCAGTGGCAGTAGATTATAAAATAACCCAATGGCAATAAATTGTCAAAATATTTAGCAGTTCTTGGTAGTCAGAATATTTGCAGAGATTGTAAGTTGTAGACAAAACTTAGTTGTGATTTGAAAATTATATTTAACATATTGTTTAGTCAAAATTTCTCAGCAGGTAGTCTTTAGCCAAATATCCTCTAGTCTGAATAGTCAAAAAATGTCAGTGACTAGATTATGGTCAACATATCAGTGATTGCCATTTATAAGTAAAATATCTAGGTGAATATAGATTGGGGTTGACACTATACTGTAGTCAGTTACTAAACTTTGGGCACATACTGTAGTCAGTTACTAAACTTTAGGCACATACCGAAGGCAATTAGGGATAAAAGTGTATGCAGATGTGTTTTTGCTGTACATACATTTAACTGAACTCAGTCACATATTGTCAAGCATTTAATGTAGGCATGTTCCTTAACATATAGTGTCAGTTATTTCTAGGCAAATGTTGCTCATATCAGTACTTTCTATCCGTCCAAGTGCCAAACACAGAGTGAGCCTAGTTTTTTTTTCACCCTTCGAATCATTCTTTCAGTACTCCTGCATTTTTTCAACATGGCGGCTGACAGTTGTTAAAATATTTCAGTGGATATTGATTGGTATTGAGCAAAAACTGTTGGCAATTAATTATTAAAGTAACAAGGTGTTATTTTGCTGTGGATACATTTCACGTAACTCAGTAACATCTTATCCAGGATATGATGTAGGCATATGTCTTCACACATAATGTCAATTATTTCTAGGCACATATGTGCTCCTGTGTTCATATATATTATTGCGCGGTAATGGAATTTTATTGAATGTAACGTTGTAGGCAAAACCATATGTATTACCTGAGTATGTCAAGTATTTATAGCTGTACTCCAGTTGTCATGTTTAGATTACATCTGAATGTATTTTTTTTTTCTTTTTTCCCCCAATTTCTCACAGCTCTCAGTAAACGGAACATATGTATGTGTTCTTTTTCTTTTCATTTTGTGTAGGTTTTTCTTTGTATGGACCGAGTTTTAAATATTTATATTCATGTAAATAATACAATAATTAACAGTTTCTGATGGTTATGTTATTTCATCTGTACATTAGTGTCATTGTTTGATTGATTGGCAGTTGGATAAATTTAGTGTGTATGTGTGCGGTGGAAGTTATATTATGTGCTGGGGGAGTGAAATTAATGTGTGGTTCTTGGGAAATTAAAGGTTATTGAAGTGAATTTCAAGTTGAGGTTGAATGTGTATATTCAGCACACACATACACACAGACATAAATATTGCATTTTTGACATAATGAAATTTGCAAACAAACAGTTGACTGGAATAGAAAGCCATGGTAATGCACTGAGTTGGACTTTTTAATAAGTGACCGTTGCTGCCAGTCAGACCAGTCTAAACTGGGCCCTATCGAAGTCCTGGGATTGAAAAGTGGACGGCGTGATGTTGACCACGTCATGATAGTGTTTAAATGTCAGTGACAAACTGGTACCATGACATGTGTATGTTATGTTTGGCCATGGAGTAGCTGTTGCGGTGTAGATGCTAGATGATTGCCACGGGCCCGGAAGGTCGTGGGTTCAGCTCCTTACTGAGCCTGTTTATTTTTCTTTCAAAAAGGCCCTTGGCTCTAAGGTTGACCCAGCCAAAATACAGTACCAGGTAAAGTGTTGGGAAGTAAAGGTGGCAGAGGTATGTTGGCCACATCTTCCACAGAGTGCCGATTGGTCTATAAACTATATGTCTAGCCCTATCTGCCCAGTGCGTCTGTGAGCATGGAAAAGGGTCCTTTATAGCCATGGAGCCGGAGAGACAAATGGTATATACCAAATACAGTGATTTGGGTGAAATCTTTTTTAGAGTAAGTAAAAGTGAAGGACCATTGTCCACGCCTTTCAGGCATATTGGGTATGTAAGGCTAGACCAATATTTTATAGACCAAATGGCACTTTGGCTGACAGACCAACAGGGCAGATCCCTGATATCCTGTTCAGCCTCAAAAGAATGTGTAATTAGGGCACGCATAACAGCTCCACCAGCCAGGTGTGACCTGTAGCCCTGTATGGGTATAGGACCCAGTATATCTCCTTCTTCCTCATCTTGTAACTGTTGATACCAGGGGTTGCCCACATCTTTCTCTGATTTCTTCACCTCTTGAAAACAATTCATTCAATGTTGCCAAATTATACCTATTAAAATTCTATATTTAAGCACTTGGAAAGAAATCAGTTAAAAAATTTTGAGAGCATACATCTTCCCTGTAGCAACATATGAATGTGAGTCTTAGACTATCTCCCAGTCCTTAAGTGAGAAAATGGGGGCTTTTGAGCTGAACTGTTATAGAAAGATTTTCAGAATACCACAGAGAAAGAAGAGAAGAAATGACATTCTGAAAGATATGTATATCAAGGAAGATTGGCTAAAAAAAAACCAGCATCTTTAAAACAAATAGTACCAGAAGGCATGATATCAGGATGGAGAGGCAGGGACCAACTAACACGAAGATGGACACAGGCTATAAATGACACCTTGAATATGAAAGTGCAGGTACCAGGAGAGCTGGAGAGAGACTGATTTTTTTCGGGCAGACAGTGATGACAGCCATGTTTCACAAAGGACCTACACTATCATGAGGAAGTTATATTTTACCTGTAATAAATCTCCCAAATCAAACGCTACATGTTGCTAGGTTTCAAGTTGAAATCCTTCTTTCCCCTTTTGGGTTTCGGGACCCACTGCCTCCCTTGCATGCATGTCTTACAAGGGAATTTCTTTCAAAGTCAAAGTGCATCCTGAGAGGCGAGCAACTGACAGTCTGCATACGTGTAAGCCTGGGCTGTAAAATGGATGTGCACGCAAAACTCAAGTTTAGAGTCCAGAAATGGATAAACAACCAGAACAGTCGGAATTAGCAGCTATGAATTAAAAAAAAACTCTTGTTGGCTTTTCTAAGTTGTTTTCAAATAAAGGAAAGTAAATTCTCTATTATGTTGGTGTCTGATGTACTCATGCATCAGTTTTTAACTTAAGTTTATAAACATCATGGTCCATTTCAGACTCTATCTTTATCGCCAGATTATATATTTGTATAATGCATTCTTGTTGTTGGTTGTTCATAAATAATAAAACGTTCATGAACACATGTATTGTTTTTAGATTTGATATGTGTTTGTGATATTTATGCTATAAATGAGCAGAACACTTAGGGATTTTCTGCATGCTTGATAGCACTGCAGGAAAATGTGCAAGTTGAAAGCAAGGATTATGGGAAAAATAGTGCAGGGGGAGAGTACTCAGTCAGCTAGCACCAGGTCCTTATATCTTCTATCTCATGCTGACCTCCCCCTGTCTTTGACTCTTTTCCTTGAGTATTTAGGTTTCCCACTTCTCCATTAACCCTGTTGGTTCCATTAAAAGAACTGGCAAGGATAGCTTGTTACAAATTATCTCCAGTTTTAATGTAATATTTCTCAGTCTTTGCAAGTAAGAAACA